CTTTATGGACTACCTAAAGTACATAAACCACAAGTCCCTTTGCGTCCGATAATCGACATGTCAGCTTCGGCTACACACTCGGTTGAGAAATGGCTTGCGGGTTTGCTCGAACCAGTATGCAAGGAGTTATGCACATACACCGTGAAAGACACATTTGAATTTGTGAAACGGGTAGAATGCATGAAAGTAAATGACAAATTGATGCTCTCTGGACGTTGAGTAACTTTTTACGAATGTTCCATTGATGGAAACTGTCAATTTTGTGTGTGATGATTACATGAATGAAAAGAACATAAATGTGGGTATTCCGGTGAGGAAGCTGAAGGAATTAATTTTACGGCGTACCTTCGACAGACAAATTTTCTTTAGTGGAGTCTACTACTGACAGATTGATGGTGTCGCGATGGGGTCCCCCCTAGGACCACTCCTTGCTGATATTTTCCTCGCTATGATTGAGCGTGAAGCTATACGACCCATTATCGCTTCGTTTGATTTCTATTGTCTTTATATGGATGATACGTTTATAATCTGCGATTCAAACACCAATGTTTCCAACCTGTTAAACCAGTTAAATGGTGTTCATCCATCGTTGAAGTTCACTATCGAAACCGAAAGAGATGGTAAGCTAGCCTTCTTGGACGTGTTGCTAAGCCGAAGAAATGATGATTCATTGGAAAGAAGTGTATTCCGGAAGGCCACTTGGGTAGGCCAATACACACATTTTCTGAGCTTTGTACCCTTGAGGTACAAACGTAATCTTGTTCGCTACTTGTATTTTCCTGCTACGAAAATTTGCAGCCAAGAGACGCTAGAGACCGAAAAGATCCGTATTCTCAAAACGCTGCAAGATAACTGTTATCCGACACCATTCATCAAAAAGTATGCAGTGATCCGCGATAGCCGTGAACTGATTACTACTGTCCCTAAGAAGGACGTGTTCCTATCAGTTCCCTTTAAAAGCGATGTTGTCTTCGATCTGTTGACCAGAAGAATTTCCACTGCAGTGGCTAGAACCTTCCCGGCCGCACGCCCACACGTTCTTGCGGAAGCAGCTCCCTTTATAGCCCAACGCATTAAAGACAGACTTCCGGTTCAGTCCCAATCTTATATCAGTTTACCTGCGCGTGTGGTGCGAGGTACGTGGGACACACAACCAGGCGTGTGTAAACACTTGGCAGAACACTGCCCAGCGGCTTTGTGGAAGGCATTGTCAGTCGCACCAACAGTTTCATCCTGGAACATCTGGTGGAAAGCGGACACCGAATTAGGACCGCTGATGCCTTCCAAGTACTTTATGTAATAAAACCACGGTACACTAAATGGCTTAGAAAGCAAATCTTACGGTCGGCCGAAGCGATTGCGATTAGAATATTTCGACCGGAATTATGTAAACAGAAGGCCTTGCTTCAAGGGCTTCTTCTACCCTAGTTAGCTCACCAACTTTTATCACTCCGTACACCTACAGTGGTCGGATGATGCACTTGGCATTCCACCGATCAACTAACACGTGCTTCGTCACATGTGTTGTCAGTGGATTTTATTGACCAAGACTTTTGAGTTTCTGTTTGTCGTGATTCCACTATTCCCACCACTTTGGCTTCATCAGCCATTTGCTTTGTGCCTTTCCATTTTATAAATGCCTGAGGAGATTTGTCGAAAAGTGGAGTATTCTCAACAAGTGACGCGAAACGTTTTACAGCTTGAGACGCGCACGTAGGCATGCATACGTGCGCATGCGAGATCCGGTTTGAACCAGCTTACATCATTGATCGTGGGTGACACGTGACAGTTCGTTCACATCTTTTGAAGCAGCTAGATTCACCGGTTTATTGAAAACCATTCCAATGTATTCATCTGATCTCCTTACAGGTTATCGTATCGACCAACATCGCTCAGTCGTAGGTCTTTGCATCTAAATCTGCACATTCTACACCTGGCTTCCTTAGAGCTAATTGGCTTTCAGCTAACACTTTTTTAACTACATGTCAACAATGCGCAGCGAAAGTTGTTATTCTCATTGTTGTCGTTGTTCGTCTAGCTGACACCTAGGTACCGTGTATTGTCAGCGCGCTGCAATTTCAGGGAACCGGCAAAATTTTCACTGCTTCGTCATCTGCACCCCGTACTCTGTTGATCTTCAATAATCAATCCTATGTGCTCAGCCATTTTTAACCACTTTCATTTTATCTTTGGCAAATGTAGTTCGGCCTTTTTGACTAGCAAACTTCGTTTAGTTTCGAAAATTGGCAGGTTCTTCAAGTTTGGAAGCCAAGCATTTGTAGGTACGAGAACCATTAAATGGTTCCGTTCGATATCCCCGTGACTTTACCGCTGCAAATAAATCCCGTTTGTCAAATCGGTGTCATCATCCTCATAACACTTTAGCTGAAGGTGAGAAATACACGATAGCTATTGTGCCGCAATTCAAAAAGATCGTTGCAAAAAGTGGGATACAAAGCCTCATGGAATATAAAGACTGGCAAAACAGTAATATACTGCTAAGTATCATATTACACCTGCGGTGTGAGACCGTGTTTGAATGGGCCAGATAGGCGAAAAGCAATGGAACTCACAACGCAAACGCTGTTGAGGTCGGTTCTTCGCCATGACAACAAGTGTATCCGACCATGCGTGTTCATCGTACTAGCGACCCCAGTTCGGCCGTCGGAAGACACCAACCTACGCTAATTTCGAAGCTACGGTCTTCTTTCCTCTTAACCAAATCGTCACGGCCCCCCTCCTCTTCTCCTATCCGTATCCCGGTCGTGCAAACAAAGCGCGTCCTGGAAGTCGGTGTGCAGGTTTGCGCAACACGTAGCCCAGCGATCGGAGCCTGATGCGTGATATAACGATGCTGAGCAGACCACTCTCTCTCTTTCTGCCGCAACAATATGACGCCGATCACGCTCATTGTTCACCGGTGTACTCAGCAGACATGAGCTAAACTTAGTCAAACTGGCGTTTGTAACTGCATTCTGAAGCCGATCGATTTTTCTACTAAGGGAATGCTGTTCACCGACTGTGAGCTCCATTTAAGATTAGCTATCATGCTTTTCCATATGACCCATATTCTAGGCATCGATTTACTTGCACCATTCGTAACATATAAGTCAGTGAAGGATGAGTTGCGCTATATCGCAGATAGCTTGTGGATGATGCTGGTCCGCCGCTGTTCCTCATGTTTCCAGTGGCCTATGCTGCTGTCTGGTGATGCAAGTCAGGACTCGTGCGTTTGGATCCTGATGGCGCTCCGATGGAGATCCAACAGGTCGAAACGGTTATCCAGTGTTCTTCCGGGCATTTGTAGAACTCTGATTTAGAACTTACTGCAAAGAAACCTCCAACTACTGAGATAGTTTCTTTACCGACAAAGTCATGTTCTCCCTTTCCGTTCACATCAGCATTTAGGTGTTCGCAAACTCTAATCTGTGACCGCTCACAAACGTGCCAAGCGGCACTGGACAGATTGGCACTGGCTGTCCACCACTTCGGGCTTTGCTTCGCACCATCGAAGTGCAAAGCGTTCCTCCAAAATTGGTCTCGATCGCCTCCTACACTGAACCTTGGCGGGGATCAGGTAGAAGTCGTGCAAAAATTCAACTAGCTGGGAAGTTGTATCAGCGCCCGTGGGATTGAAGATGAGATCACGAACCATATATCAAAAGCTCGAGGCGCTTTTGCTAACCTTCGCCACATATGGCGCCGGCGCGACATTACTCTCACCCTGAAGGGTAGAATGTACAATGCAGCGGTACGTTCGACTCTACTGTACGGTTGTGAAACCTGGCCCGTAAGATCGGCGGACATGAAGAGGCTAGTTACGTTCGACCGCCGATGCCTTCTCAATTTACCTCACGTCTGGTGGGAACACCGCGTGAGCAACGAGCCTGTTCGACGCATTGTTTACGGCACAGGAAAAGGAAATGAACCGCTCAGCACCGTTATTTCACGCATCGGGCTCCGATGGGTCGGCCACGGGTTACGCATGTCAGCCCACCGACTCCCGCGACATGCTTTGTTTGCGCGCCGGGGGTGTGGATGGAAGAAGAGGAGAGGTGGCCAAGCGATGACTTGGTCGGGAGGAATGAAGGCCCTCACTTCTGAGCTGGCCTCGGTTTGAGCGTCTCGGCTCCCTGGTTGGTGTCCGAAAGACGATGAGCACCTTTGGCTGGATACACTTGCTGACATGGCAAGGAGCCGACCTCAGTGGCGTTCGTGCTGTGAGTTTCTTTGTCCCACCCCATCCGCTTTAGCCTCCCCCTCCAACTACGATCTCATTATTTAGCATTTTATAATTTTGCACAGTAAATTATTTTTTCTGCTGCATAATAGCCGGCTGGTAGCTTACCGGAACGATGTCCATCCGTTACCGATAGCTCAGCCGGTATGACGTGACATTGACTGCATCTACGCGGATTCGAACTCTCGATCTACGGATTAAAAGGCACACACATACTCCTGCCGACCACCGGCTGTTTCCGCGAACGTTGCCAGTTATCAAATGATATGCATAATTTTACCGCGTCACTCTTAGTACGCTCAACTGTTTGTAACTTCTCACTTATTTCATAATACTTTCAAAACTTCGACTGCGGCAGCATCAAGCAAGATGCGCACCCCCTGACATTTTCAACGACTTTTCTCCTAAATCCATTCCATCGCCACGCTTGTTTTACGGCGTGATATCAGTATCACCGTTTGTTAGTGTTTGGGTGATTGCTACTGCGGTCTTAGTTGTATTCACCTTCGAACCCTTACTTAATCTTTTTTTTAAATTTAATACCCTCATCGTTTCCACACGGTTTATTAGGCTGGTTGCCTATCAGCCAGCTACGTTGTTTTGCATACGTCCATGGAGAGCTTTCAGTTTCAAATTGTCATGGCCGCCTTTTACTCTAGCTCTTAGTTCCATGCTTGCTGTTCATTCTTCGGATTTCGTTCTAGTGTTTCAGCGTGCTATTTTTGGTTACTTTTGAAATTTCCGTTGCTTCGTTTATTTTAGCCTTACAAATATGCTCAAAGTATGAAACAGCCAACGATGGGTCAACAATCCACTGGACCCGTTTTCCAGCGTTCGCCTGATCTCGCTAGTGGGGCACACGGCACAATGCCTGCTCCACTTCAGGTCGCCATCGCAGCTGGTGCACCGGGGGTCTCTCAATCTCAGAATTGTGCCCAACCAGTCGCAAATTCTTTACGAATGGAGCCCTCTAATATGCTTCATTCTTCTGTGCCCCATCAGCAGATCTCCAATGCGACACACTCTTTACTCATTTCCGGCCTTGTCGGTCAGCATGGCATCAAACATCATCATCATGGTATCGCATCTTCCGCGCTCGCAGACTCTGCTATTTTAGGTGCCAATATGCACGCAATCAATTCCTACAACATGAAACAAATATCCCCTTTAAACGGCTTGAATAACGCCCGCGTCATGACCAACCATCTGTCGGGCACGCAGACCCCTTTGGTGTCACAAAATTGCGCTCAGGGTTTGCCGGTGGTTCAGCATCCTTCGGTATCTCATCCTCCTCAGCTCTATTCCGCGCCCAACATCCAACAGCCGACACCCCCTCCAACACATTTACCGCCTCCTGTAATGGAATTTTTGCCTCCTATGTATTCCACTGATCCGAACGCGCAGGTTCAGTTTAATCAGACGTCCAGTGCTATGTTCGGTCAATACGCGCCCTACCTTCATGGAACATATGAAAATCCAAGTGTACCTCTTGACGCTCGAGTGAGGCACAACACATGGAGTGGCCTCGAGTCAGGCGTCCCGATTGGAACATTGGATCACCAAGACAAGGGTCAAGCTGCCGGACACCCTGCTAGTGGTTTAAATCGTGTCATTCCGCAACGCGGTTATGCGCTTGACGCGTTTGCATCCAACTTTTCCTCCTGCTCAGTGTACACCTCTAATCCAGTCACGCCTGTTTTCAGCTCAGGTATACACCGATCCAACATCATGGAGCCTCCCGTTCCGTCAGGACTCGACAATGGCAACTCACAGTCGCAGCGGGAGGTAAACTCTCTCAGTTGTGGTAGTCCCCACTTTTCCAAAACCAACAAACACCATTTGCGTGGAAACGGTAGGTCACAATGGAACACTGGTGTTGTTCGTCAGCCTATACCATGGAACTCTCAGCCATCTGTGGAAAATCCCCCGGGCACTGTTAGGATACTTAACGCTGGTTCTGTAACCGATACTAACCTTTCTTCCACCGTGCCTGCCCAGCGTCGTCCAACCCAACATGATCAGTCAAATCGAGGTGGTTCTCGCAAGGGTCGCGACATCTACTCGTATAGTGGCGCGGAGCAGCAACACGCTGTGGACTCTCGTCAGGCATTTGAATGTGGTATGGTTAGAGCCAAATACCCCCAAACATCTGCAAATCAAAATATCAGATCCTGTAGTTACCCTAATTACCCTTACTCGTTTCACGCCCGTCCGCCTCTTGCAGAGACAAACGGAGCTCGGACTCAAAGTCGCGTGCCTGTCTGCAGCACGACGAACTTTCATAATACTTTCGATCCTCGTTGGAACCTACAGTCCGGCTCACCACTCGACACTAGCTCCTTTAGAACTATAAACCACACTTTCTGGAGACACCAAGCATTCCCTCTAACAGTTTCTCCACCAACTTTCGAGTCTGGTGAACCCCGACGTCCCCGCGGACTGCCTCAATCCCCGCACTACATCGAGTCACCTGGGGCCTACTACTTACCACGCTACGACAACGCAATTTTCAGCAGTATATCATCCAAATCTAATGGTCTTCGATGCCTCCTTGATGCCCTTCCAACGCGGTAAGACGTCACATGCTATGTTTGAATATATTTGATGTTTATTTCTGTTTTCTGTAATGCGGCGGATGCGCGTTCCAGTTTGATTCCGAATGCCTGTTGTAGCAAGACCGAGAGAGTAATACCATGAGGTGTAATCATCTCAGAGCGTTTTCATCGTGTGATGATCACTGGTAACGTCATCTCTGTTATCCGCGCGTACGGAGTTACCTTCCCCTTGTTTCGGCGTTTCGGCTCATTTTTTTGGTATTAGCTTAAAACTGTCAGCCGATGGCAAGCGCAATACACTATGTCCTGCTCAGGAAATTTCTACTCCACCTACGTGGCTGATGCCTCAGTCTGATTTGTACGGATAATTCTTTTGGCTGGCAATTTTGTTCCTTCTATCTATACGCTCGCCGTTTTATTTTGCCACTAAAATCAACTGTCCATTCGAGCCCGTTATTGTTTTGTGGAGTCATGAGCATGAACTGTCCCATGTCCGCGTTTCGAATCCGTGTTCTCCCCAAGGCGTAACCTCAATGTGCTGCACTGGGTGGTACTTTCCTAGCGTATCCATGCGGAGACTCATGCCCTGACAAACAGATGGTTGGAGGTAGGACAAACTCCATCTCCCTCTCATAGAAGACCTAAGAGAGGTCAGTGGCACTTTTCTGGAATTTAGCCTTGGGAGAAAGGAATCCGCGCATCGGGAAGTTCTATTGAACCACTATGATCCGAGTACCGAAGTACGGTGGATCCAGTTTCTACGACTCACATCGCAAGAACAACAATAAATAACAACGGTAGGACAGTGGGTTTGGGTGCGAATGGAATCTAGAGGAAATAAAAGCAAGAATGAAATGCGTTAGACTAATCGGAATGGAACGTAACTTAACAACCAGATGCAAGAAACCGAATTCAGGAACGCCACTGACTTCGTAACTGCGCCATGTCTGACATGGTCTCTGACCATTGCTTTAAACTATCCCGCGGCCCCCATCCACGAAGACGGTACGCACCAGCCCGACCAAGCCTATCAGTCAATTTCTTCATGCCTCGATGCCACGTCATGGACCGGCCACCTCGAGTTTTCGCCCAACTTGGTGTAGCGTGTAATCCACCTCGAGGAAGCCGATCAACGGGCATACGGAGAATATACTCTAGCCAACGCAAGCCACTGAGATTTAGCCAACACTCCAGTGAGGCACTAGAAGTCTTCTCGCCAAAAACCACCTGGCGGACTTCAGCATTGCTCAACCGGTGTTCCCACCAAACGGGAGCACTACTTCGCGACCACCGATGCTCAAGCATGGCCAAGCGTTTAATGTCTTCACTGCGCACTGGCCAGCTCTCTGATCTATACAGTAAGACCGGCCTTATCGCTGCGTTATACAACCTACCTGCCACTGACAAGCTGATATCCCGCTGTTTCAATATATGGCTGAGCCTCTGGAAAGCCACACAGTCCTTGCTGTTACGCGAAATAATCTCTTCAGTGATGTGACTATCAGGGTGACAGCTGCGAATGGTGAGTGAACCAATCCACCAATTCCAGTGGCTGTTCGGAAATAGCTAAAATCGGTGGTGCGTCGGCCCAGTCCTGCAGCAATATTTTGCACTTTGAAGGTGCAAAGCACATGCAGCGCTACATGTCAGTCTATCAAGCAGTGTTTGCGTAGCTAATGCGTCAGACCCAAGAAGTTCAATGTCGTTCGCATTCTCAAGGTTTGTCAGTCGTTCACCTGGCAGAACTTTCACTCCAGAATACTCTGAAAGAACCAAGTCATTTATAATCATTTAGCTAACAAACTTGAAGGGGAAATGCGATATTGGACAACCCTGTGGAACCCTGCTTTGGGTGGGGAATTCAGGAGTTTCCCGTATACCCTTTCACGGCTTCGGGAATCACAGTAGAGGGTATTCAGAATGGAAAGGGGTTTAGCTGGTACGCTCTTCATGAATATACAGTGCCACAAGCTGTCGCGATCAACAGAGTCGAAAGGAGCTTTTAAGTCAAGGAAAACCACCGTTGTCGGTCGTCTGTATGTGTGTCACTGCTCTAAAACTTGGCGAAGAACAACTATGTAGTCGGTGCAACCACGACCAGAGCGGAAGCCAACCTGGCTTTCAGTGATTCGGTTCACACGGGGATCAGTAAGTCGTGGAAGGATGATACCCGTGATTAGTTTGAAGGTGATGGAAATACAGCTAATGTCTCGATGATTCTCGCCCAAAGTACGCTGACCCTTCTTGAAGACGGGCACGACAGCTGGTAGTCGCCAGTCTAATGACACTTCTTCAGTGTCCCAAATCGTCATCAACGTCATCACCATTCTTCAACAAAGATTTGTAAAGGTTGTCGGGTCCAGGATGCTTGTTTGGTTTCAACACGGAAAGCTCTTATTGAATCTTTTCCAAACTGCGAGATGTGACAATAACTCCGCATCGGCTCAGGTGATTCGGCAAGCGGCAGTCACAATAGACCTGCTGAACTGTTCCTCAAAAGTTCTGCTGGTCTCGCTAACTGACCCGTGTTCCGAGTGAGCTGAAATAGCACTCGGCTGTTTCCAATTGTCACAGTTAAGCTCTTGTGGAACTGACGCACAGTGGCTGGCTCTTGGCCGAAGTATCACAAAGCAAAACACGTCAGGCACATGGAAGCTAAAACTATCCTAACCGGCATGTTATACAACGCATTGATCCCATATTCTAAACTAGGACAATCGACAAATAGGTGAGCGGGTTATTGACACACGCCAGCGAATGCAGGCAACGAATAGAAATGCCTCAGCACATTGGCCGTGAAGATGCCACAGCAATAGCACTGGCTCTCTCCATCTCACGGGTCTTTGCAACCCACCAACGTTCCCGGTCAACTCGAGGACCTTTTGCGGTGCGTCCTTTCAGGGAGTTACGGATACGCTGAAACTCAGTGCCCATCGGAGCCCGTTTACGCGTTTCGATCAAACTGATCGATGCCTCAGAGGTCCATCCACAGTTACAACGTCTCATGTCAGGTACACAACAAGTGTCAAAGGCATTCATCATGGCACACTTGAGACGATCCCAGTCAACGTTCGGCTCACTAACCTGACAATTGGTGGGCCACTTCGTTATGAAATAGTTGAATCTCAGACTGCGTCTAGTGGTTGCTACTGAACATACGGGTAAAATGCTGCTAACCTGCAGCTGACCGTAACCAGAAATCGGTTGTGGGTTCCGCTGATTTTACGGATAACCTGCCTGAATCTGCTGTGCCGCTCCCAACTCGTTCAACCCGCAACGAAACTAGGACGCCAGGACCAGCCGCCCTGAGGGATTCGGATTCGTATTGTCTGAGGACATAGCCCAATATATAGGTTGTATGCAACTCCTAACAACAAAATTGGAGGTGCTAATTAATATTAATTAACACAACTCAAACGGTTCAAGTTCATGATCCAACTTGCCGCTGATCCCGCATAGATTCGGGTTTTGATCTCTACTCGAGTTCAATCTCCAAGCATAGAGCTATCCAATCTTGCGCCACGCTTCTCGGCTTGTACGCTGGCTCTCCGTAACACCTCCCTCGCGCAAATTGACGTGCGACTTCCGTTTTGGGTCCAGGTGCCTTCTGATGACGAGTCTCCACACCTGATCATTCCATCACCGTGGCTGCAAGTTCGCTCCTTTTGTGGCCACTGGTAAAAGCTCATTAAGTCCCTCCTGGGTCCCAGGGTGAGTGGTTCACCGATTGGAGAACTGTTCTCTAAGCGAATACGCTCCTGGTTAACCACTGATGTTGCTGCGTAAGGTATAGGGGCATCTCGTGCGAAATATTGGAACAGCATCGGACTTAAGGGACAGTGAAGCTTGTACCTTCGTGCACTTATCCAGGTCCTCCCGAAAGACTGCTGTATACCTCTCTCACAGACGCTCAGTGGCCACTGTTTTGGGGGCTGTTAGTTTGTGTATCTGAAAAGTTGCACAGAGTTGCAGACCCTTGCATTTCGGTTCGCAGGCAATTTCTCCGTCTAACGACAAAGGGTCTTTTGGTGCGGCAATAATCGCACTGAGGGGGCTTCTGATTCTGCACGTTTTGTTTCACATTCTGGCCACCATTAGCTGTGTGGCCGAACTGGAGTTCACATCTGATATTTGCATGTTCACCTTTTTTGATGTCCAATCCCAAGTTGGTCTGCTTGTTATACTCATCTGTAATGTCCTCTGAGGTCAGCTCTGGTTTCAGTTTACATTCTGCTTGTATATTCAACTTCTGTATCAGCTAATATGTCCATTGCCGCCGTGATTCTTCAAACATTAACTGCTGGCTCTGAAGAAGCGTCTGCATGTGTTCGGAAGAGATGCCTGTGAGAGTCTCCATCATTCGCAGCTATGCGGCCTCGAACTGCTACTGCTATTGTAGCGAAATAGTTTTCATATTTTCTGCTGAGATAGACATCTTGATTAAGTTGACCACCGGTCTCCAGAACTATACACTGGTTGCCACTGACTTTACGGATGACCTGCCTGAACCTGCTGTGCCGCTCCTAACCAGTTCAACCCGCAACAAAATTAGAACGCCAGAACCAGCCAGACTGAGGGATTCGGATTCGTATGGTATGAGAGCATAGCGCAATAAATAGGTTGTAGGCAACTCCTAACAACAATATTGGAGATGCTAATTAATATTAATTAACACAACTCAAGCGGTTCAAGTTCATGATCCAACTTGCCGCTGATCCCACATAGATTCGGGTTTTGATCTCTACTCGAGTTCGATCTGCAATTGTAGATCGATCCACTGTAGCGACACGCTCCTCGGTTTGTGCGCTGGCTCTCTGTGACACTGTGGATTCAAATTGCAGGTAAGAAGATTAAAAAATAGGCCCCTCTGAGGCAGGAAGAGTGAGCGCCAAGCGTGCGCGCACTAGAGTATCTTCATAAGCTAGGCACGTGTTCCAAATTGACCGACAGTCTTAAATTGACGTGCGCCACCTGTAGCTGATGGCAATATGGTCAATTTGGATCCAGATCATAGA